ACCCCCAGCCAACGCCTAACTACGGGACGGTTCTCACCCCCGCCACAGTTGGACTGGGATTGTTCTCACCCCCAGCCAACGCCTAACTACGGGACGGTTCTTACCCCCGACACAGTTGGACTGGGACGGTTCTCACCCCCAGCCAACGCCTAACTACCGGACGGTTCTTACCCCCGACACAGTTGGACTGGGACGGTTCTCACCCCCATCCAACGCCTAACTACGGGACGGTTCTTACCCCCGACACAGTTGGACTGGGACGGTTCTCACCCCCAGCCAACGCCTAACTACGGGACGGTTCTTACCCCCGACACAGTTGGACTGGGACGGTTCTCACCCCCAGCCAACGCCTAACTACGGGACGGTTCTTACCCCCGACATAGTTGGACTGGGATGGTTCTCACCCCCAGCCAACGCCTAACTACGGGACGGTTCTCACCCCTGACACAGTTGGACTGGGATGGTTCTCACCCCCAGCCAACGCCTAACTACGGGACGGTTCTCACCCCCGCCACAGTTGGACTGGGATGGTTCTCACCCCCAGCCAACGCCTAACTACGGGACGGTTCTTACCCCCGACACAGTTGGACTGGGACGGTTCTCACCCCCAGCCAACGCCTAACTACCGGACGGTTCTTACCCCCGACACAGTTGGACTGGGACGGTTCTCACCCCCATCCAACGCCTAACTACGGGACGGTTCTTACCCCCGACACAGTTGGACTGGGACGGTTCTCACCCCCAGCCAACGCCTAACTACGGGACGGTTCTTACCCCCGACACAGTTGGACTGGGACGGTTCTCACCCCCAGCCAACGCCTAACTACCGGACGGTTCTTACCCCCGACACAGTTGGACTGGGACGGTTCTCACCCCCATCCAACGCCTAACTACGGGACGGTTCTTACCCCCGACACAGTTGGACTGGGACGGTTCTCACCCCCAGCCAACGCCTAACTACGGGACGGTTCTTACCCCCGACACAGTTGGACTGGGACGGTTCTCACCCCCAGCCAACGCCTAACTACGGGACGGTTCTTACCCCCGACACAGTTGGACTGGGACGGTTCTCACCCCCAGCCAACGCCTAACTACGGGACGGTTCTTACCCCCGACACAGTTGGACTGGGACGGTTCTCACCCCCAGCCAACGCCTAACTACGGGACGGTTCTCACCCCCGCCATAGTTGGTCTGGGACGGTTCTCACCCCCAGCCAGCGGCCAACTACGGGACGGTTCTCACCCCCGCCATAGTTGATCTGGGATGGTTCTCACCCCCAGCCAGCGCCCAACTACGGGACGGTTCTCACCCCCGCCATAGTTGATCTGGGATGGTTCTCACCCCCAGCCAGCGCCCAACTACGCGACGATTGTCACCCCCGCCATAGTTGGACTGAGATGGTTCTCATCCACGGGCAACGGCCACCAGACTAAATAAACATCCATATGCAAGTTTAGAATATAAAGAAAGAAATGAAAGAAAATTCATTAGATGCGTGATCGACACAAAAGAAGGAAAGGGTTACAAAGCCGTGGTTGACATGCCAACCACAGGCTTAAAGAGAAGAAAAGCTAAGAACTCAAGTTTGTATTAACAGCAACCGTTTCGGCATCTGATGCGTGATCATTCTCGTTATCCACAGTGGCGTGAGCATCCTCCGCTTGTTCTGACACAACCGCGTTGATGACTCCACCTACACTAGCCACCCCAGAGTCAACCAAGGTCCCAGTAACAGTGTCCGTTTGCACGCCACGCCCAACATCATCGATACCGTGATCATCATCACTGTCAGCATCTGTGGGTGGAAGAACCCCCCTAGCACCTTCGTCGTCATCAGTTTCAGGCGCCGCTTCAACCACTCTAATGGCGCCACAGTCAAGGCGTTGTATAATCTTGTCATCCTCCACCTCATAGTCGGGAGTGAGCCCAGTCAAGTCAGCCCCAGGATATCTGACAGCAACCTGCCGCAGGGCGTTGTTAAAAGAATGATACATCAGGTTGGCCAGATCCTCCTCCAACTTCTCCACCTCCCCCTTGACTTTGTTGAAATCCTCGTCTTTGGCATGAAGACTCCCTTGCACAGCAAACAAATCGGCAGATAGTTGATCCTTCTCAGTCTGAAGGGCTTCCTTCTCCTTCTTGATGTTGTCCAATGCCTTACGTAGATCGTCTCTCTCATCAGAAAACCGCTTGGCGTCTCCTTTCGCCTTCTTCAGCCGCTCTGACAACGACTGGATAGAAGTTTTCTTGTCAGCGACATCCTTACCAAGACGCCCCACCTCAGCAGTAAGGCCCTCCACTTGTCGCCCAAATTCGTCAAGACGACCCTCTTGCAAGGAGCATTGTTCATCGACCGCAAGAATGATCTCCTGCATCCCTAAGATGCGACCAATCACAACTTGGGCGCAATCCATAAACTGCTTACGATCAAGACGGGGGGGCCACCATCTCAGGACGTTCGATGTTCGGAATTCCAGTACCAAGGTCCCTTTCTGACAAAGTAAGGGCCCTGCCAACAGGAAATACAGCAGTAAAAGCAGGAGCCCCCTGGCGCCCGGGCTCATTCGAGGCTGATCATCAAATTGCCCATCCTCTGAAGGTTCGCAGCGTGTGGAATTCGAAGCTCGAGGCGGTGTCAAACTTGCATCCGCACCACGCTTCGCACCAGAACCACCTGGGGCAAACGACCCAGATCCCAGCATTGACTCGCTCGCCGAAGAATTACCAGCCACACCCATGGGATCTCTAATGATAGGACGATTGATCCTTTTCTGCAGTTCACCCGCATGAATGTCAGCAGCTGAACGAACCTTCTTCTTCTTAACCTTGTTTTCCTGAGCCTTCCCTTTATCCTTTGGAACAGGGACAGGCGGAGCTTGAGGAACCGCGCCCTGTCTGGCTTTCACCTTAGCAGCAGCCTCGCGTGCAAGTTTTAACATATCTGTCGCAATACTCCCAACTGTAAACAATAAGTAAAAGTTAGAAGACATCAAGTAGTAAAGACAACATCAATAGAAATAAGAGAGGTGGTCACAAACAAAAGAAAATCAGAACGCCATCACACCTCCATGGCACAACACCTGCTTCGACGACCACCGGTCAAGGCTTTCCTTTACTTCAACAAACCAACTAACCACCATCACTTCCTCAGGAGTCAAATTTCCAAACGCAGTAGAATACTGACCGGCGGGCGTCTCATAATGGTTTCTAGCCCAATACAAAGGAAACAGGCACTCCCTACTCTCCCGATCTACAAAAAAAGGAAGTTCCCCCTCGCCCAACATTGGTTCAATCTAGAAAAAAGTTCGTGTCCAGTTTTTATACGAGTTGGCGTACTGGGCAAATATCAATCCTACTGTGTTGCCCGCCTTTAGTGAAACCCAACCAAGTTGTTTCTTTGAAGGGGATACCTGGAAGCAGTAAAAGAATAATCGTACTGAGTACGTCATGTCAAAGTATTGGCATATGCTCTCAAAAACCCGAACAAACGCCCAAGCATTCGGGTGTAGTTGAGATGGTGCAACCTGTAAATGGGAGAGTACTCCCATCTCAAACTCAGTCAGCGGAAACCTCACTTTCTGATCCGTAAAATGAGTCTTATATACCATGAACCGCCACCGGGATCTCGCTGTAGTTTGAGGTTTGTCACAAGCCCGACGATCGCTACTGACCGCGAAGGGTTGCCACTTCTCCTTATCTGCACCATTTGCAGTGATGACAAAGCTAGATTCAGATTGGTAGTGGCGACGCAAAGTATCATGGTCAGCATAACTCGATGACGCGTTAGCTACCGCCGGGTCAACCCAACTCCTCGCCTCAAGACAGTCGACCGACCGATTAGTCGCCATAAGTCAGGAAAGTACCTTCAAATCCTACCTAGGAGCGACAAACACACAATCAATCCTCAATACCTCTCCAACGTCAAGAAGACCACTGCAAAGAAAAGAGAGTTCCCATCTCACCTTATCCCTCACTCCAATGAACACCAACACCCTCCTTACAAACTACTAAAAGAAAAATAACTCAAACACTAACAACTTACCATCAGATTCGGATGTTTCCGAAGAGCGTGAAGAATAAAAATCCGAATAGCTTAAAGAAGAAGGCCACCAAGCAGGTGGTATCTTATACAACCCCAAGTCTTCACGTATGGCATCCCACACACCATACCTCACAAGTCGCCCGTCTTCTGGGTGAAATCTACCCAGTCGGTTGTCTGTAGATTCGTCATATTTACAGCGATGAAAAGACTGAGATATGTTTGGAATCTGGCCCAGTGAAGTGCTCAAAGCAACAAGGGAATCAATAGTCGGACGAGAAGGCTTATAGTAATACTCTATGGGGCGATTTTGCGGGAGGCGGTTAATAGAAGACAAAGGTCGAATAAGTCGCCCTATATCAAGCGTGGAACGCCGTGAAATGCGGCGGTATGAACCTCCCCTTTGTCTGTGGGTACGAACAGAAGACCTTGAACCACGACGATGGGATGGGCGAGTCCTCACCCCTCGACTGAAACTCCCGGACCGTCGCCTCTCAGATATGGCAGAATGACGTCTACCAGACCCAGAAACAGACTCACCACCTTGAACCTGACCATCACCACGCGGTCGAGATCCAGATGCTTCACCCAGGTAGGGAAGCACAGGTCCTGTAGCCCGTTCAGGCAAGAGACTCTGAATCTCTTCTTCAGAAAAACCCAGAAGTTCAGGAATTCTACCATGGGGTAACGACTCTACCCCAGGAACTAAAGAACGATAAGAGGGAAAGCTGCTGCTTCCCCCTTGCTTAGCAAGATACTCCTGCATAGCGGGCCCCACCGTACAGCCTTCGAGTGAGTCGAAGGCTTCATCAAACTCTTCCTCTTTAACCTCAACTTCCAACCCCAGTAAGCCCAACCTAGGAACGTCCATGATTGCACTACACCCAGGAAAAGAAGAGGAGAAAGTGTACAGAAAGAAACACAAAGGAGAAAAAGAGTTAGACACTGTACCTGAGGTAAATGCAGACACTGAAGAAAAGAAGACCGGCTCAGACGTTATGGCAAAGAGATAAGAGCACAATGTGCTTGTGGAAAATAAACCCCCTTCTTCTTAAAGAGAAAGCAAACACTCAGCCCTTTGATATTCCAACCGTTGGATGTCATAACCGTCAGTTAAGGGACAGTCAAGATGAGGGGCCTAAAGGTAACTTCAAGGAGATAAGACACCCCTCACGTCCCATTAATGCGACGTGCCTAATTACAGCATAGATATGTGCAATGATCAACAATTCATCATTATAACTCCTCGAAATTCGAAAAGACACCTCCCATGTCAGGAAGTTGAAATACCCTAAGTATCCCTGGAAGAACAAAGGCAAAACGGTTGATTTTCCCCCACTAGACAAAGACGCCCAAGATCCATCGAATGGACGACACAACTTGAAGACGCCCAATAATTGTGACTCAATTCCAATACAAGTCTACCCATACTATTTTCAAAGAGACGCCGAGACGGTGCGAATGGGCGTCGCCAACCTGAACGCCTAACAGTCGTGACTTGGTGACCACACAAGTCTACAATTCTTAGGCAACGATCAATCGTTGTGATCACCAGAAAGGTAGCGCCCAAAGACTACAACTTGGCACCAAACTATGCTTGCTACCAAGCTGGGGGGCTCCTGTTCCGGATGGCCCAAGTGCTAAAGTGGCCCAACTATCCAGGCCCAATACCGAGCGTGACCCTGCGTCTGCCCTAAGGGCTGACATGGACCTTCTCAACCCCCAATGTAGCAGCAGGTCCAAGGCATACACCAAAATGCCCCACCTTGGAACGCTAACCATCGCAGGCGACTACGACAGACACCGCAAAAGGAAACTCCCCCTTTGCCCGGTGCTGACATCGCCAGAATACAGAGGGCGCAGCACTGCCACAATGACAGCGCCAGCACGCCTAACACTGCATCATGGGAGTAAATCCCAAGGAGAGTTGACCTCCCCCTCACCAACCCACACCGTTTCCCCTATAAATAGCCCCCATGGGCACACCTTACAGGTATCTTATGTATCGTTATATTGCCCATTTACTTGAGTCATATCATCCTTTTGCTTATTATCTATCCACTGCTTACACTTGGCTTTATACTTCTTAGCCTGGTCAATATCAGTGCTAAGGGTATTATCCATATATTGACTCATCCCTATAGGAAACATAGTGGGCTTATAGATCTTATCGGTACAGTGTCAAACTCTCAAATAATAACGGGAAGTGCCATTTTTTCGTATATGCCACTCCATCCCCTTAGAAACTATAAACGAATGGGAAATGTCATTTTCTAATCTATCCATTTGGGTAAAATATTCACTTTATACTATTCTTTTGGCTTTTTGACCTTTTTATCCTTCATTAATTAATTATAATTATTTTATTCCTTATTCAAAATTATCTACCAATCTGCCCCTCTTTAATCGATTAACTTGAAGATTTAATCGATTAAATGGTCAAAATTGACAAAAATGGTTGACTTGAAGATTTAATCGATTAAATCTTCAAGCTAATCGATTAAATCTCCTAATAGGCAACAAAGGTCAAATCTCTGGCTTTTTGACAACTGTAGCCTTTTTTTAATAATTAATTATCAAATTGACCTTGATTATAAATTATTTCAAAAATTTAATCTCTTCAGAAAATATAACACTAATCTACCCATGTTTTACCGTTGACCATCAAGTCTACCTGGGTATCCCCTACCTACCCGAGTATTTTTTGAAAATTTTATCCTACCTGAATAGAGAAAGAGATACCCAAGTATATTTCATAAATCTGAAAAAAATACTTGAATTATTTACCCGGGTAGGGAGACGGCTACCCGGGTAAATTTGTTAACATAGACAAGAAGCTAAATCATCAAGCACTTGGGTGATGCAGATAGAGATAGTGATGGGACCACTGAGACAGAACGAAGCAAGCTTGTGTTTTTCAATAGGAGGAGTGAGTTTGAGCTTGAGGATTTGCTTCGAGCATCGGCAGAGATGCTTGGGAAAGGTAACTTGGGTACGGTTTACAAAGCAGTGATTGATGATGGATGCACCGTGGCTGTGAAGATACTCAAAGACGCAAACCCATGCGAGAGGAACGAGTTTGAACAGTATATGGATGTTGTAGGGAACCTAAAGCACCCAAACATTGTTAGACTCAGAGCTCATTATTATGCTAAGGAAGAAAAGCTTCTTGTCTATGATTATCTCCCCAACGTCTGTCTATGTTAAGAAATTTACTCGGGTAGCGGCCTTCTACTCGGGTAAATAATTCAAGTATTTTTTCAGATTTATGAAATATACTCGGTATCCCCTCCTTATCTGGGTAGGATAAATTTTTAAAAAAATACCCGGTAGGGAGGGGATACCTGAGTAGACTTGATGGTCAACGGTCAAACATGGAAAGATTGGTGTTATGTTTTCTGGAGAGGTTAAATTTTTGAAATAGTTTGAAATAAAAGTCAATTTGGTAATTAATTATTAAAAAAGGGCTACATTAGTCAAAAAGCCCAAATCTCCTCCATAAACAAAAGCAGATTCCATGCATATGAAGCAAATCAACAAGCATAGATAACCAAACAAAGAAACCAACGAACAGGCCTGGCTCCATTTCTACCTCTCACATGAAAACTTTGCTTATTACATGAAAAACGGCACGAAGTGATCCTATTGTCAACCTCAGAACGATGACAGCGATTAAGGCGAACAACGAACCCTTCCTGTCTTGCATATTCATCATAAAAATACTTAGCAGAATCTTCAATCAGTTTTCCGTGTATTGGAGGTTATTTGAATTTTGAATTTTGAATTTAATGTAATAGGAGTTGATTGCGATTTATATTTAATAGGAGCTGATTGCGTTTTGTATTTAATAAGAGTTGATTGTGTTTTGTATTTAATAGGACGCAATCAGCTCCTATTAAATATAAATCGCAATCAACTCATATTACATTAAATTCAAAATTCAAATAACCTTCAATACCGTATTTGTCTCATTCAATCAATGCTTTCATGCTCGTTTGGAATATTTAATCGATTAAATATAAGTTTTAATCGATTAAGTCAATTAAGAGAGATATTTAATCGATTAAATCTTCAAGTCAACTATTTTTGCTAATTTTAATCATTTAATCGATTAAATCTTCAAGTTAATCGATTAAAGAGAAGCAGATTGGTCAATAATTTTGGATAAGGAGCAAAATAGTTATTAGTTAATTAATGAAAGGCAAAAACGTCAACAAAAAAAAAAAAAACCATTCTTTTCTTTGCGTGACCAGAGATGCAAACAACCAGTCACCAAGTGAATGAGACTACGGGGGGCATGACAGTAGAGTACCTAATGATCATTTGGTTACAAATCACTTTCAGCCTGCAAAGCGCCACTAATCTTCACGTGATCAATGGTGCTTCTTGTGGTCCAATTCATAAGACGCCATAAATTTGCAAAGAGTATTGCAGAATTACACAGAACAGGAAAGAGAAGGGATCAGAAAATAAGCCAACAAATTGTATTTATGAGGAAATAACAAAACGATTAGCATTGATGAATTTTTCGTTGCAAAAGTAGAAAATCTACCTCTGTCATGTCTACTCTCAGACACCAAAAGCATATAAAAAACAAGTTTATCAACAGAATATTAAGGGGGGAAATAATATGTGTCTACGAATGTACATTGGTCTGTCAATGACTAAAGAGTTCTATGAGGCCCCAAAAATAACCAAAGTGCTTAAAGCTTATAGATATTGAAATAACGAAACCTTTTTTTATAATAAGTTTCGCTACCCTTTCTATTTCTACATATAGACAAGAGAAAGTGGCATCTACAATGTAGACACTAGGCATTTGAGCCTCCCTACAATGTATAGTAACATGCCCTGGGAGAGTGGACTCTAGCGATTCTTATTGTAGTCCTCGTTAACTTTCTATGTGCTAGTAGTGGTTTGTCAGAAAGGTCCATAAAAAGTAGTAGTTTTATATCTACGTTTCAAAACTCTGAAGAGAAGTAAGCCATTGTTCCATGTAATTATTCCCAGCTGCATATTCAATCAGAATTCCAAAAATTAGTAAGTATTGATATATTTATGGATACCAACATGCAAATATTCTAGCAAAATGTATCAACAGGTCATAAGACAAATTCTCTTTGAATGAATGCAAACTTGAAACTCCATGGATGACCAACACAATTATGGAGCAAAAAGCATCACCACCATCCTTTACACGACAAAACTTCCCAAGCAGTTTTGATGTGTACAAATACCTCATTTTAACACGGCAGATTATACTATTTTAAACGCAATAATTTCCAATTTGCAGTTTTATTCATGTTCCAATATCAACTGGAGGCTCCACATACAGATCGGGGTATGCAATTGTTGTTCAGCTTATAGGTTCATCAACTTGATTAACATGTCCTAGGCTTTAAAAATTAAGATGACCAAATTTTGCTCATCGATGTACAGCCAGCTTAAAAAATATGGGAAACAAGAGCTCATTCTACATAAGCAATTAAATAATAGTTCTCAGAAAGAAAAGCAAAGATCGATCTGCCTAACATATCTGATTAACATAATATCCATCTAGTATAATTCCATCACTCATTTCCATTTAATATTTATTATTTAAAATTTTGCAGGGCCAAAGTAAGTCATCTGCAATGCCCACATAGGTCAGAACTCAGAAGTTCTTGTGCTCTACAGTCGACAAAGAGTAAGCAAATTCAAAAAGAAGTTAAAAATAATAGAAAAATATGAATTCTTTGGGAGTAAATTTTGGGAAGGGAAGGGTTTTATTAATCCCTTCCCTGAGTTTAAAAAAGTGAGGGAAAGGATTTGAGAATTTTCACAAAATCTTCCAAAACTCTTCTTGTTCTTAAAATTAAAGTTCCCATAATTTAGAGAGTTTTAACTCCCAAACAAGGAAAGGGAATACCCTTCATTTTCCTTTTCTTCCTCTCCCTTCCTCTCCCTTGAATTTCTTTCCTTCCTTTTCTCTCCAAACTCGCAAACACAACCTAAAGCTATTGAGGACCATACATGCTTAGCTTGGAATCAATTCCTTCAGTCAAATTACTATTTATTATTGAATTGCCGTGATGAATCCCAAAAGGAAGTCAGCACATTTGCCTGTGGGTTATATAATGCGGAATCAATTCCTTTAGTCAAATTACTGAAGTGCATAACTTTTCCAGATCAAAGTTTTCAACCTCATACTTTTTTTAATTATTATTTTGATGAAAAAAATGCCGACTCCAATAACTATGATGAAAATGACACATTTCTTCATCAAAATAGAAACAATGAACAAGAAGGCCGAACCAACTCAAAATTCAAAATTCACTCAATATAACAATACATATATATCCCCAATCCCCCCCACCACCAAAATAAATAAATAAATAAAGGGCAATAAAAATCTTACCAGAAGAAAATTCATTGGAGAGGTTCTTCATGGCACTTAAAAGCACGTTCTTTGAGCCGTCCACCTCCTTGCAGCCAAGTCTGTAGCAAGGAACCAGCACAGCAAAACTATTATCCGACTCATCATCATCATCATCATCATCATCATCATCACTCTGAAAAACAGAGTCAAGAGGCTCCAGCCACCCAATGGACCAATCTGAGTCATCAGATTCGGAACCCGACAAGGACCAATCACCACCATCAGATGGCACCAACACAACATCGTACTCTCTATCAATTCTCTCCTCTTCCCTGCTCTGCCATTTCCTTCTAACCTTCTTGTGAGATGGGGCCATCTTTGTTTCCTTCACCAAAGGGAATTTCACCATTTCACGTTCCTTTAAAGCAAGACACCATTCAGAAGATGATGAATTCAGAGCAGAGCCATTAGAAACGGTTTCTTTCTTCTTTCCCCCACCACCCCACATGGACCACGAGAAACGGGTGAAAGAGACAGCCATGCATCCAGCTCCAACAGCGATTCAAAGCTGAAGTGAAGCTCTTTTTGGAAGCCAAAGATTTGTAAAAGAATGAGGGAAAAGCCACTGACTTCAAATGGCGCGTGGTTCCTGCCTGTTGCAGTGACACCACTGTATTAGGAAATGATCGATTGAAAAGGTTCATAAATAAATTCAACCTAACAAAACAAAAAAACTCACTTAGTATAGTAAAAGACAAGTCTTTGAAAAGGCAAAGTCATAATTCAACAAGTGCATAAATTTTTCCAATTCTTTTGCTCAAATATAAAAGGGAAAATGATTTCTGCGGCAAGAAAACATTTCTCTGCCCGGGAAACATTTCTCAGCCCGCGAAAAAAAAAAAAAAATGGATCCATTACTTTTTGAATTTCTCTCTTTATAAATTTCTCTTTCTCTCGGTACTTCCAAAAAAATATAAATTAATCAACTATATTTAGTCTACACTATATATATATATACACACATATATATATATATATATATATAAAAGATGAGTTACATGAGATAAACAACTTTCCTACACACACAAAAGGAGTTGGGTCCCATCACTCTTTTTTCTCTCTCTTCTTACTTGTGGGTCTCACTTGTAACTTTATTTCTACAATATGAGGTAATTATTTTCCTACAACATAAGAAAAATATTTCCCATGTAAGATTTACCATTTTAAAAATTAAATGAATTTAACAAAGGATAAGATATTGTAACAACCAATTAGTGTTATTATCAATAAAACTACCAATCAATTTCACCGTTAAATTGATTATTTTGATCTAACGGTTATATTTATTTTCATCTTTGTATGATTATGATTTCCCATATTTTATGTGAAAGCATTAAATATGCATAACCATACAAAGATATAAATAAATATAAAATATTAAATACGGGAAATCATAATCATACAAAGATGAAAATAAATATAACCGTTGAATCAACATAACGATTTAACGGTAAAATTGATTGGTAGTAACACTAATTGATTGTTACAATATCCTTTCTCATTTAACAAATGATATTTTAATAAAATTCATAAAATAAAAAATAAATAAAATTACAAAAATACTCTCCGTTAATTTTCTCATCAACACGACGTAATTTTAAGTTGGAAGAAATATTTTATTTCATGTGATAATATATGTATGGGTTTTATGTTTATCATGTAACATGATATAACATCACTTTCCTACACATACATTAAAGAGGTGAGGTCCACATGTTTTTCTTTCTCTTTCATCATTCTACTTTCTCTCTCCATTTTTTTGTGTGTGTTAGAACAACACTTAAATCATGTAACATAACACTAATAAAACCCTATATGTATATCCCTTTTAACTTTGCAGAATTCACCAAACCAATTTCGTCAAAACTGCCCCAACGCTGCAAAACAATAAATTATATCTTTTTCGATAAATTCAAAAAATCCAAAAAAATAAAAGAACCGAAAAAAAGAACTGAATCAAAGCTAGTATAACACGAGGAATTTTTCAGTCAAGACCTTTTGAGGTAAAAAAATCAAGTCAGGTGATCAAAGAATCAAATTTCGATCTTCTCCTCGCGTCACCGGAATATCTGGAAAAAAAAAAAAAAACTCGCCGTAAAACCGAAAAACGAAGAAAGGATCGTTCGGAGCAGAGTTTTCTCTGGCAAAAGAGAAAAAGAAGCGAGTGAAAATGTACGACTGACTCAGTGAGTTGTGTTTGAAACCCTAACTCCGTAACTCACTCTCACTCCATCATCGTCCTTCTCAAGAAAACCCAGTGAAAACCGAGACTAGTTTTCTTATGTAATGTTAAAGAAATTCCTTCGCGTAAATTGCTTTGGATAGGTAAATCTATCATTTGTCCTTGTGGATCCGACATTAACCATCGCATACCTACTAATTGGTGTACTTGAGATGCATTTCCTCTAGCTCTTGAAAAAGACATTATATGGACTGGAATAAGAGAGTCAGTCATTTTAAAATTGAAACTCTTTTTTTGTCGCAAATATTCACTTGTAGCATACTATATCTCAATCGATTGACGTAATTTTTCTACCGCATGTACATTTCCATAACGGTGATGTTTTTCTAAAATGAAACGTTGTTGTTCAGCATCTTGGACTAGCCATCCCTATCTAATAGACTTTTTAAATATTTAAGTAAGGGATAGGATATTGTGACACTCATGTGACACCCAGTCAATCTCACCGTTAGATCGCGTATGTTGATCCAACGGTTATATTTATTTTCATCTTTGTATGGTCATGATTTCCTAAATTTAATATTTTATATTTATTTCTACCTTTGTATGGTTATGATTTCCCATATTTAATGCTTTCACTTTAAATTTGGGAAATCATGACCATACAAAGATGGAAATAAATATAACCGTTGGATCAACATAAGCGATCTAACGGTGAGATTGACTGGGTGTCACATGGGTGTAACATAACTTGGGTGTCACAATATCCTATCCCTTTGAGTAAATACCTTTCTTGATCTTCAATAAATTTCACGATGACCGCTTTAGTTCCTAGCAAATAAAAAGGCTCATTGTGTCCTTAAAAAATTCAAAATGGACCCATTTTGTTGAAATCATGATCCTCACAAATTCAAAAAAAACTCATATTAGTCCTAAAAAGTTTGAGACTAAAATGGATCCATTTTGAATTTTTTAGAAACTACAATGGGCCTTTTTATTTGCTAGGGATTAAAACGGGCATCGTGAAATTTGCTGAGGACCAAAAAGCGTATTTACTCTAAATATTTAGTGGGTGTATAATTGTATTGGATTAGAATTTTGAAAGAGTTTTTGAGATAAAAAATCTTATAAATTTTAAAAGATTATTTAGAATTGGACGGACTTTAAAGATTTTTCTTAAAAGATATTTTTTATAATCAGGATTTCATATGATTGGATTTTAAAGTATTTTAATAGAATTTATAAGAGTTAAAAGGATAATATGGATTTATAAGATTTTAAAAACTATATGAATTTTTAACATACATTCAAAATTACAAGACTCAATAAAAAAAATAACAAAAAAATGCAAAGAAATTAATAAAAAAAGTAAAACATAATATAATTTTCTTAATCAGTAAAACATAATACAATTTTTAAAAAACATTCAAAATTACTAAGTAACAGTTCTTCACATATCTAAAGTTATACTAGTAATACACGCATTAACATTTTCTTGTTCATGCTCTTGGGTTTGATCAATTGGTTGAAAATTATCTTCTTCATTTGTATCAAAGCTATGCATATATGATTGGGGATTGTTTTTCTTATGTTACATAAGATAAAACAATCCTCCTACACAAACAAATCTTATGTGGGACCCACTTTAAATTTTTTCTTTTTTTCCTATTCTCTCTCCTCTCTCTTCATTTTGTGAGTGTAGGAACATTGCTCTTATCTTATGCAAAATAAGAAAAATAAATCCATATATGATTATACGACTCAATTTTTTTAATTATTAAAATAATTCTAAATTTGCATATAGAACCTAAAATTTATGATAAAATTTCATTTGAAATATTTTGCAGTTGATCTTGAAAATCTTGGGGTTTTTGTTATACGTGATAAGAGTTTTCTAACCATATATCATATGCCTATTTTCATTGAATATTCTAAAAAAAAAATTGAATCTAAATTTCTGAGTTTTATTATATGAAAGTTTAGAAAATTTCTCAAATTTTTTTAATCAATACATTGAAACCTTAAATTGCTTTGGGGCTTTTGAAAAATAAATTTTTAGTTATCTATTGACACAAAAATTGTTTGAAATCTTTTCCTATAGTGAAGCAATTTCGTTCATGAATGTATTGTTACGAAATATAGGGTTTATATTATGAAAGTTTCAATCTTTCTTTAAATTGATTTTTTTCATTGATATAAATCAAAAATTAGTTTAAGGGTTTTATGTTATTTCTAATACAAAAAAAATACATTTTTGTGCCAAGAAAAATAGTGACCTATAGCTTGAAAAATCATTTTTTAAACTTTCAAAAGCTGTAAAAAATTTGCTGTTTTTGAGATGGATTATATTAGAATTTTGTTGGTTTGTTTTTTCTAGGTTGTTTTGTGATAAAAATCGCTCAAAAATCTGTTGTTATTGAGCTTTGACATGGCGAAACCCGATTTTGAGCGGGTCAACCCACCAAAGGAAGAAGAAAACACTACCATTAGGGGTTAGGATGAGATTGTGAGAGAGACATCTTATTTATATTTCTCACTAAAAAGTCTCACGAAATTCACACCGATAGAAAATCCATTAAAATCGTCAGATTTTAAGATTGTTTTTCTTTTGTTTAAAATCCTGATTGAATAAAACGGATATGGATATACTCTAAAATAATCTTTTAAAATCTTAATTGAATACCACGTGACTTTTTTTTCAGTCCTTTAAAATCCTAATCGAATACCAATGGATTTTTTTGTCCAAAAATAATCAATTAAAACCATTTGAAATCTCAATCCAATATAACCCCTTATTGTTATTATTAGGGAAAACTTCAAAAACCCCCATGAGAGTTTAGTCAGAATCACTTACCCCTCCCCAAAAATTTTAATCATTTACACCCCTACTTAAAATTTTTTTATCACTTACCCCCTAACTTGATTTTCCATCCAAAGTTAAAGTTAACGGAGTTAGTTTTTAAAAAAATACCAAAACTACCCTTAAAAAACACACACAACACTGGACCTTACTGATGGCAAGAGATAGTCATTGAGCAGTGGAACCCTAATCGTTTTGACGCTTCACCGCCCCTGCTTCTGATTAGCCGGTAGATGCTTATATAATTCGGGTTCTGGAAGAAACACACAACACTCAAAGATTTGGACCGATAAATCTCGATTCTATTCGGTTGTATTTGAGTGATTTGTATTCTCTCTCTATAACAAAGAATAAAATGAAGTTTCATAACACAAACCCTATATGAAATCAATGGCATTCAAATGCGATCAATGTATATATATATATATATATATATATATATATATATATATATATATATATATATAGGGGCAGGATATTCTTACACCGGTGTAAGAGTTAGAAGTCTTACACTCAATCTTGACCATTGATC